CGCTTATGCAAATGAAGCCCGGGAAATTCAAATCCCGGGCTTCATTTGCAAGTGCGGTATGCCTACATTACCCCGCTAGTTCGAACTAGCGGGGTAGTGTAGACATACCCTAAGGTGCTAGAGGACTATTCATTGTTTTTTAAGGGTTTTTTTTTTTTTCATTTTTATTCCGTTTTTCTCATGTCTCTTTTTCACATATTAGAAACATAGGACTGGAAGGGACCTTGCAAGATCATCTAGTCTAGTTCCCCTGTCCCTGTGGCAAGACTAAATATTATCTAGACTATTCCTGACAGATGTTTGTCTAATCTGCTCTCAGTGATGGAGATTGCACAACCTCCGTAGGCAATGTATTCCTGTGCTTAACCACTCTGACCATTAAGAAGCTTTTCCTAATTTTCATCCTAAACCTCCGTTGCTGCATTTTAAGCCCATTGCTTCTTGGTTTATCCTCAGAAATTAAGAAGAATATTTTTTCTTTGTACTGCTAGTAACAACCTTTTATATACTTGAAAATTGTTATGTCCTCTCTGTTTTCTCTTTTCCAGACTAAACAAACCCAGTTTTTTCAATCTTACCTCATAAGTCATGTTTTCTAGAGCTTTGACCATTTCTATTGCTCTTCTCTGGACTTTCTCCAATTTGTCCACATCTTTCCTGAAGTGTGGTGCCCAGAACTGGTCACAATACTCCAATGGAGGCCTAATTGGTGCAGAGTAGAGTGGAAAAATTATTTTCATGACTTGCTTATAACATTCCTATTAATGCATCCCAGAATGATGTTCACTACTTATTGCAACCACGTTACACTATTGACTCATATTTAGCTTGTGGTCCACCATGACCTTTAGATCCCTTTCCCCAATACTCCTTGCTAGGCAGACATTTTCCATTTCATGTAAGCAACTGACTCTTCCTTCCTAAATGGAGTATTTTGCATTTGTCCTTGCTGAATTTAATCCTGTTCACTTCAGACCATTTCTCCAGTGGATCCAGACAATTTAATTCTATGTTCCCAAAGCACTTTCAGCCCTGCCCAACTTGGTATCATCCACAAACTTTATAAGTTTACTCTCTAGCCATTATCATTCATTAAGATATTGAACAGAACCAAAGTCAGAACTGATCGCTGTACCCATTCATTCTGTCCTTTCAGCATGACTGTGAACCACTGGTAGCTACTCTCTGGAAAATTACATATGGTAATGAGTGAGCCATTCCCAATCCCTATTCAGAACCATTCTGATCGTCTCACGTTTATTTGTGTCAAATTTGTATACTATTAGCCTTTCAGAGTATGGTTGATGTGGTTAGGGCCTATGATGGTGTCACTAGAGTAGATGTGTGGACAGAGTTGGCAGTGGTGTTTGTTGCAGGAAGAGGGTTCCTGGGTTAATGTGTCTGTTGTGGGATGTGTGGTTGGTGGTGAGTATGTGTTTTAGGTTGGGGACTGTCTGTAAGTGAGGACTGGCCTGCCTCCCAAGGTCTGGGAGAGCAAGATCATCATCTAGGATAGGTTGTCAATCCTTGATGGTGTGTTGGAGAGGTGTTAGCTGGGGGCATTCTGGTGCTTTCTTTGTTGGGTCTGTCCTGAGTGTCCTGGTCCACACGACTGCCTGCAGCTCCCATTGGCCAGGAACAGGGATCCACAGCCCTGAGTGAGCAGCCATACCTGTGAATGCACAGGTAAATAAAGCATCTGGAGGGCCGCCAGGGCTAATGTTGGTGAACAGTATGGGGCCTGCTGGCCATTTATTACCCGCCCCTCTTCTAGATGTTTTCAAATGGATTGCTTAAATTACCTGCTCCATCATCTTTCCAAGTACAGAAGTTAAGTTGACTGGTCTGTTATTCCCTTGGTTGTCCTTATTTCCCTTTTTATAGATTTACCCTTTTCCAGGCTTCTGGAATCTTTCCCATGTTCCATATCTTTTCGAAGATAATCGCTAAGGGGTCAGATATCTCCTTAATCAGCAACTTGAGCTTTCTAGGATGCATTTTATGAGGCCTTGGTGACTTGACATTTAACTTCTCTAATTAATTTTTAACTTGTTCTTTTCCTATTGTATCATCTGATCCTACCTCATTTTTCACTAGAACCCACTATATTAGATGTCCAGTATATTCTTTTTATAGTAAATACCAAAGGACAAGAAACTGACACTTTTTTAAAAGGGACAATGCTGTACACAGCAGTGGCACTTGATAAAGAATACAAATATTGCAGACAAACATGAATGTGTGTCTCACACCTTGGTAGGAAATTGAGTCTCTTTTTCAGAAGATCTGAAATTGCACATCTGGATCTGACTGCATCAGATTCATAGGCCATCACAGAGAAATGCAAATGTTACATCACTAAGTAGGAAGAGATGGAATCAACAGAGCTATGCTCTTAAACGTGAAAAGGTAGAAGAAGCTGACTGGCTGTAGTGATAAGGAGATGGAGCTGGTAGTGTCCTGGGGTTAGGAAATTTGGTTCAGATTGAAACTCATTAAGGACCTTTTCAAAGCGATGATCTTCGGTCCTGAGTAACTGTTGTTTTTGGGAGCTGAACTTGTGATTCATTCTGCTCTATTTTAATGGTACTCAAAATAAAACCTAGTTGCTTTGTGACACTGAACAGTCTGTGCTCTTCTCCTGAGCCAACATGAGTCTTCACACTACAGCGCGATACACCTAATAATAATTCACCCTTTTTAACTTTTACTGGGTGCCTTTGGGTTTGGTTTTGTTTTGTTTAAATTCTGGTGCAAGGAATAATCTTGACAGCAGTAGATACCAAAGTCTTGTCTCTGTCCACAAAACAGGTATTGCGTGGGCTGCGGAAGTGCAGGTTTCCTAAAATACTGATGAAAGTCAATGGCATGATTGCCTGGAACATTGCTGAGGTGTTCTGCTTAGTTTCTGGTCTTCAGAAGGGGTGCGTCTAGACTGGCAAGATTTTGTGCAAAAGCATCTGCTTTTGCGCAAAACCTTGCCAGCTGTCTACACTGGCCGCTTGAATTTGCGCAAGAACACTGACTTTGTAATGTACAAAATCAGTGCTTCTTGTGCAAATACTTTCCCACTCCCACTCGGGGAAAAAGCCCTCTTGTGCAAGAATATTTGCTCAAGAGGGCCAGTGTAGACAGGGAAGATTTGTTTTGTGCAAAAAAGCCCCGATGGCTAAAATGGCGATCGGGGCTTTCTTGCACAAAATCGCGTCTAGATTGGCCACAGATGCTTTTGCACAAAAGCACTTTTTGCGCAAAAGCATCTGTGCCAATCTAGATGCGCTTTTGCGGAAATACTTTTAACTGAAAAACTTTTCCATTACAAGTATTTCCGCAAAATCATGCCAGTCTAGACGTAGCCAAGATGTTTTGAAAACACAGTTCATGCCTTTTCAGCCTCTTTCCTGAAGTGCTGAATAATTCTTACAGCTCATTCGCAATAACCACCTGTTTGTGTGAAGAAGATGCAAAACAATGATTCAAATGACTACACAGAGCAGCCGCATCATCGTTAAAAGAATCCTGTTTGTGTAACGCTGGCGGCTGCTGCTTCTAGAGTTTTCATGGGAAAGGGTGGAAGCTTTAGCTCATTTGACGCACACCAAGAGGCTAATTACTGAATGGCAGGCCCGGCATAGACACGTACAAAGGGACAGTTGACAACGTGCCTTTATGAGCTGGCCACGTATTCACCGTGTGAGCTTGGACTTGTCGCTTTTCCGCTTCATTTTCAGAGGAGGAGAATACCCACCGTTCCTGCTCAGTTTCATGGGCAGTTGGGTGTTCGTTCTCCTTGGGCAGAGAGAAGTAGCCTGACATTCAGTAAAAGCTCTACACTGATACACAGCCCCTTTTGGGGTACTTTGAGATCCTGACCTGAAGCGTGCTCGGTAAATACTAAATGGTGCTATAATAATGAAGCTGCCACAGTGGTCACTGCCATGTTTCAGAATCCCCAAACAAGCAGCTGGACACCTGCCTGGTGGAAGGATGAAATGTCTTTGCTCTCCCCTAGTTTATAGTAGAAGGTGTCAAGGAAGTGAGACTGTCTCACTTGTAGCAAAGTCCACACTTCAGCAGCTCTCCCCAGAGACTGGTTTTGCAGTTGCTGTTCCTGGCCCTAAGAGCTTTGTTCTGGCTGTACAGTTCAGACACATGGAGTGTGGGTAATCAGAGTGGGTCTTTCTGAATGCCAGCCTGTGTTCTTCACCATATCCTGACTCACCAATTTGGGCTCACTGACTGAAAAGCTCACCTCTTTTCTCCGAAACATTATCCCTATATGTGCTTTCCATGACTCCACACCGGGCTCACTGATTGAAAAGCTCACCTCTTTTCTCCAAAACATTGTCCCTATATGTGCTTTCCATGACTCCACACCCCCCCTCTCTCACACAGACACCCACCTTAATGCGGTGTCACCACTTGTACCAGCTGCTGTAGCACAGAGCTGAGTAGAGATGGACTCTGCGTCAGTAAGAGGTACTCTATGTTGCACAGATGTGCCAGTCTCCTTGTATACAGAAGCCAACTGACCTTTGCGTTGGTGCACCTTGATCTCTTCTATTCTCTGACCGTGACACACAGTATTTAACTCTTGCAATGCCTGTAACATTTCAGTCAGATTTGGCTGTTGGCTTGGTGTGAAGATTGTCCTCAGAGTGGTCTGTGATATACAGACTCTCAAATTAGATGAGCTGATGGTCCCTTCTGGCCTTAACAACAACTTTGCCAGATCTCAGATGTCCTCTTGACAAAAAGGTGTTACTTTAAAGTGTGGGGGGGGGGCTTTTAGTAGAGGGGTTGCTGATGCTCAGACACCAGCCCCTTATTTGGACTTGATGGCCTTCTAGAAAATAAAAGACCCAAATCTCTCCAAAATATTGTGCCACACAGGAGTAACGGCAAAACCTCACGTTCCAATGCAGATTCCCAGGTACAGATACCAACAGACTTCTCTAACCCTCTCTAAAATATGATCACATTAGTAATCTAGAATACAAGCATGCATATGATCTAGAAAGCATGCCTCAAAGCCCCTAGCTCCCCATCTTGCAAAACAGGGCTTTGTTTTCAAATCTAGGCATTAATCCAGCAGTTGCAGTTAGGCTGTGCTGGTGCTGGGGAACTGGCCTTTCATAGGTAGGTAGCTCTTCCTGGAAAATGTGGAGGGTAAAGGAAAATTCATGTAGCTCTTCCTGGAAAAAGTGGAAAATGTGGAGGGTAAAGGAAAATTCAAGTAGCATATAACTTAAAAATATTATTTACAGTTGCTACATGTATACATGTTTTATATTCATGCCACTCTCATGGAGATAAGGGCAGCAGAACAATTAGTTATGGATGTCTCCGTGTGTGTGTGTTTCTGCACTTTAGATCCATGTTACTCCTCTGAGGACAGGGCTGGTAAAGTAACCTGAGAGTTGTAGGTATCTGGCACATACGCAATGAGGCTGGTCTTGCTGCAAGAATGTGATAAAGCTTTTAGAATGCTAGTCATGGTGCTGCATAGATCAAATCTCTCCCTTTTCACCCTCTTTCATCGTCCCTTTGGAGGGGAAAAATGCTGACGGAAGACTCGGAGGGGTAGCCATGTTAGTCTGTCTGCAAAAACAACAACA